GGAGAGCTGTCCTAGAGACCTTGGACCATCCAGAGTTACAGACATGGAACTCGTAATCCACCTACACCCACCAGGAGAGTAGAGTAAAGGGAGAGAGACTTGACCTGTACCAACAGGAAGAAGCTATAGGAAGATGGCAATAAAAGAAAACACCCAACAATAGAAAGACAATCATGACACCACAAGAATCTAGGGACTCTACAACAACTACACCTGAACATACAAAAGCAGATGAAGCAGAAGAGAATGACTTAAAAAAATAACTTCATAAAAATGATAGAGGACCTCAAAGACAATATGAGAAAATCACTTAAAGAGATGGAAGGAAAAACAAGCAAAAAATAGGAAGAAATAACAAATCTCTTAAAGAAAGTAAGGAACACCAAGAAAAAACAAACAGATGAAGAAAAGAGTACAAGACTTGAAAATTGAAATAGTGACAATTAAAGAAAACACAAACTGAGGGAATGCTGGAAATAGAAAGACTGGGCAAACCATCTGAAACTACAGATGCAAGCATAACCAACAGAATACAAGCGATGGAAGAGAAAATCTCAGGCACTGAAGATGAACTAGGGGAAATAGATTCATCGACCAAAGAAAATATTAAATTCAAGAAATCCTTAACACAAAACATCCAGGAAATGTGGGACACTGTGAAAAGACCAAACCTAAGAAGAATAGGCACAGAAAAAGGTGAAGAAGCCCAGTTCAAAAGTGCAGAAAACATATTCAACAAAATCATTGAAGAAAACTTTCCCAATTTGAAGAAGCACATGCCTATGAATGTACAAAAAGCATACCGAACACCAAATAGATTGGACCAAAGAAAAAGACCCCTTGACCCATAATAATCAAGATACCTAACATACAGAATAAAGAAAGAATATTAAGAACAGTGAAGGAAAAAAAAGCCAGGTAACATCTAAAGGTAGACCTATCAAAATTACACCTGACTTATCCATGGAAACCCTCAAGGCCAGAAGGTCCTGGATGGATGTTCTACAAGTACTAAGAGTCCACGGATGCCAACCCAAGCTACTATACCCAGCAAAATTTCAATCATTATAGAGGAAGAAAACAAGATATTCAATGACAAAGCCAAATTTTCACAGTACGTATCTACAAATCCAGCCCTACATAAAATTCTGGCAGGAAAACTCCAAACCAATCAACTTAACTATGATCACAAAGTCAAAGGCAATAAATTATCACACTTCACCAGAACCCAAAGGATAAAGCAGGGCAAATATATTCACAATACCACCACCAACAACAAACCTAAAACAAACAAGAATTAACAATCAATGGTCCTTGCTTTCCCTCAATATGAAAATACACAGGCTAACAGAATGGATACGAAGACAGAATCCATCCTTCTGCTGCATACAAGAAACACATCTAAGCTTCAAAGACAGACATTACCTCAGGGTAAAAGGTTGGGAAAAGATCTTCCAATCAAATGGACCCAATAAGCAAGCAGGTGTATCTATCCTAACATCTAAAAAGCTAGACTTCAAAATCAATCAAAAGAGATAAAGAAGGTCATTTTATATTCATCACAGGAGAAATCCATCAGTACAAAGTCTCAATTCTGAATATCAATGCCCCAAATACAAAGGTATCCACATTTGTAAAAGAAACACTACTAAGACTCAAAGCTCACATAAAATCTCATATATTCATAGTAGGAGACTGCAACACGCCACTCTTACCACTAGATAGAACCATCAGACAGACACTTAACAAAGAAACAAAAGAACTAACTGAAGTTATCTCCCAATTGAATTTAACAGACATCTATAGAATATTCCATCCAAGCACAAAAGAATATACCTTCTTCTCAGCACCACATGGAACCTTCTCTAAAATCGACCACATACTAGGCAACATAACAAATCTCAACAGATACAAAAAAATTGGAATAGTCCCTATATCTTACCAGACCACCATGCTTTAAAGTTGGTATTCAACATCACAAATTGCAGAAACTCTACAAACTCATGGAAAATGAACAATGCACAACTGTACGGTTCCTTCAGAAATAGAGAATAATTATGGATGGATGGGGACCTAGAATGGGAGGATCAAATAGGCAGAGGAGAGAGGGTTGATGGACAAAATATGGAAGAGACAGCTAAAATTAAGGGCCATTTGAGGTACAGCATGGAAACCTAATACAGTAGAAACTTCCTAAAATATATACATATATCAAGATGAGCTAAATGAAATCATCAAATAACAGGGTAGATAGAATCTCAATTAGCTATCTCTCATCACCAAATGAAACTGCCAGTACTGGAAATGGGTTATATCTAATTGAGTTGTTGGCCAAACAGGTTCCATTCAAATCCCAGAACAATCCAGACTGTTGCCAAAACTCCCTCTAAAGCCCTATTGCTGGAACCAACACAACTCATTGAGCATAGAGAATTCGAGTTCATGCCTACATACAGTCTTCAACCCTATGTCCTAGTGTCCTTGGTAGAGGAAGATAAGTCAGCACATTATCAAAAGAGAAATGTAAACACAAAGTCAGCAACTAAACCTTTGATTTACAATAATGCCCTACCTGCAATTATGTTAGTGCAATGGTGACAAAAAGCTTATAAGGGTAACCAACCAATATCTAGTTTGACTTAATGAAACACTCCATGAAATGGAACCCATACCAAACACTATCTGGGTAACCAAGAACCAGAGACTACACAGCCCAGGAACCTAGAGTAAAATCAAATACTACTGATCTTAAAATTTTTTAAAAGTAGTGATAAAATAGCTTCTAATGATATTCAGCTATACCCATAAACCAGTGTCTTGACTGCCATCACCAGAGAAGTTTCCTCTTATAGCAAATGGGAAAAAAAACTATAGATACCTGCCACAAGACAGTGTATAGAAAGTGAGAGATCTTGGAACTTTCAGTACTAAATGGGATGTTTCCATCAAATCCCTCCACTCAGAGATCAGAGAAGCCTGCCAAAGAGGAAGTAGAAAGAGTATAAAAACCAGAGGAGATGGGGGACACAAGGAACACAAGGCCTTCCAAATCAACGTGAGCAAAGCTCTTATGAATTCAGAGACTGAAGCAGCATTCACAGAGGCTGCACAGATTGGCACCAAGCAAGCACATATGTGGTCAGTGCTAGCAGGTGACTGATGCCTAGCGATTATTAGAATGACTGAAACTCAGAACATGAATGGAACCAAAATAAGAAGAAAATGTCCTTGTACACATTGCTGCCGGAAGCATGACAATAGCAGCATCGGAAGGAGAGTTTGGTAGTTTCTACACCACATGTACATTATCACATGGCCCAGGAAGTGTGCTTTCAGTTATTTACCCCCAAGGGAAGTAAAACATGCCTGCATAAAAGCCTTACATGCATCTTTGTCATTTTATTCACAACTGTCAAAACCAAGTAATCAAGGCCTGGAAAGATGGCTCAGTAGTTAAGAGTGGTAGCTGGTTTTCAGAGGACCTGACTTTTGTTACCAACACCCATGTAAAATAATAATAATAAAAAATAAATCCTAGAGCTGGAGAGATTGCTCAGCCGTTATAGGTTAGGCTCACAACCAAAAATAAATCCCAAAAAATCCAATTGTCCAAAGCCAGATGATCAGATAAAACAATTGTGTTCAAAAAATATTACCTAGCAATAAAAAGCACCTACAATGATTTCAATTACTCCACTAAGTGACTGAAAACAGACTAAGAATGTGTATCTTCTTGCTTACTCTCTCAGGTTTTTCTGATAAACTGTCTTTTAAAGAAGCCGTTCCCATCTCCACATCTTCTAGTTTTAGCAAAGGTGACCTATTTTCCACTTGTCTCAAGGGCAATGCTAAATCTTCTGCTCCCCAACCTGGTTTCATTTTTATCACTACATTGTGAATTATGTGGTGGGTTTTTTTCTATTGATATTTATTTGTTAGATATTTTCCAATATTTATTAAATGGGGTCATTCCTTATGTCTAGGCTTTGTTCAGAGATATATTCAAATTTTTAACCTATCAGTATTTTCTATTGAGACTTTTTGTCTCTTATTTAGAATTTTAAATACTTACAGAGGTCCATTAAACATTTAATTACAGTTTTCTAATATTTTCGAGTCTTAGTGTTTTTTTTTTCTTTAAATTTGTTGAGGCAGTAGGTAATAGTTGCATATATTTGTTTTTTAAAATTAAAGTTAAATTTCAGTTATTCAGTTACTTTTGCCATATTTTTATTTTTGGAGAAAATTTCATGTTTAATTTAGATAAATTTTGAGCAATTTTAGATACAGCTAACCAGCACGAGATCTGAGTTCCCATTTAACCCCCACCCTAGACAAACACTTTCACTTTAGCACTCCTCAGTGAGATCTTTGTAAATATGGATAAACAGACAATGTCATACCAGCTCACCCATAGTGTTTAATGAAACTGGGACTCAACAAAGAAATAATAACATGTATGCACTCTTGATGTATGCAGAAGTTTCACAGCTCTAGGCTTGCTTCCAGAGCTGGGCTACTACCAATTGTTTGAAACTGGTATTGTCCTGACCACATCTCAAGGAATATTATGATTTTGGATAGACAATTTCTACCACAATGGAAAGTTCTTTTGGACATGTTTCTTTGCTCAAACTATAGGGAGAAAAAAAAATGGAACCTCTTGCAGCTATCTTTCTGCACATATCCACCCCTTCTTCCTGGATTACCATGGTGCTTTATCTATATTTGCTTAGAAACTCAGTTTCCTGCACAGGCACTTCTTCAATGTGTGTCCATTAGCAAGTGATTTAACCCTTCTGACTCTCGGTTTCTTCATCCTAATTACTCATTAATCTGGTACTAGGATTAAATTAGGTAAGCAAGTTTTTAAAAAATTGAAACATTCATCATACTAAGCCCTCATTTGTAAACCTTTGTGAGTTAAAGTCTGTTCTTACTAAGTTTGACTACATTACTCCGAAGACGCTTACTAAAAGCAAAGTTAATCATCTCTTTACCCGAAATGGATTTGTGTAACCCAACAGTAGATTTGCTGCTTTTATATCACCATGAACATATTCATTTTCATGTATATATTCCAGTATGTCCAGCTGTGAAAAGAAATAGGTAAAATCAGCATTAATGTTTTACACTAGAATAATATGGTTTATTTCTACATATGATAAAATAATGTATCTCACTATTATTGATTATTCTAAAATATCATAACTTCTGGTTGTTCATTCCATAATCAAGACATCTATGGTAAACAGTCATAAGTTCATTCATCAATCAATAATTATTATTCAAATCTTGAAAACATCACAACAAAATATTATACCTCGGATCATTTTCCCTTGTAATAACAAAAGCCCTGGAACCTTGCACGCACACACACACACACACACACACACACAGAGAGAGAGAGAGAGAGAGAGAGAGAGAGAGTTATATAAGAGAGAGGTGGTCTATAAACACTGACTAGGAGAATAGATAGAAAAATAGCTGGAGAAATCAATTATTTTCCACATCACAACCTGGCATGAGCTGTTTCATTCTATTTATGATTGAGGGTGGGAGGAGATCCAACCAAAACATATACAAATAAGTTAAATATGAGGAATGATCAACAAATGAATGTACTCATGGTCATTTATGTTTCACAGTTAGCAACATGGGTGATCCATTGCAGTAATTTATTGTTGCCAAACCCCCAACTTAAATACTTAAAATATTTTAAATCAAACTATACCATATTTAGTATGAGAAGGTGTCTATTTGGTCACAGTTTGCAGTTACAAATGTAACAAACTAAAGAAAGGTTATTCTCTTGCGGCTATACTAACTTGTTCTGAGATGCAAAACCAAGCTGTGAGAGAAAACTGAGTGAAATAGCAAAGGCCAAACACAGCATACCCTGTCATCTGCAGAGCCCATGGCTATCAATTTTACCGAAATCCTTTCTCCTCTCTATAACTGACATTACTAAGCAATAATCTTTACTTTCTCATAATCCCATAAAAAGCAAAACAAGTAAATAATCTAAAAATGAGGCATTTGAAGTGAACCATCTTGAACTCACCACCCTGATTCCAAGTTGCAGGACAGTCGACTTCTGAAAAGTACCGTTCTGGTCTGAGAGCTTCTGCTGTAAATCTATTCCTAGTCTTTCCATTACCATGAATCTGTAACTGTAAGGGGTATCATAAAAGAGATCTTCCTGAAATTAATGCTGACATTATCTCTTAATGGATTTGAAAGAAGAACAATGCCTCCAACTAACAACCAAGGAGGATCAGTTAGTGTAAGCCCCTGGAGCACTGATGAACAATAATAATCCGCACTCCTCTGCACAGAGAAGTTACTACTGTCTCAGATAGTGGAGAGAATGGTGTTGCAAACTTTCTTTTTTGGTTGTCTATGGCAGTGTTAATTGCTTGGTACAGATTAGTTCCCATCACCCCGTTATGTATCTTAAAAATGTCACTGCCCATATAGAAAATGGTAATACTTCTTATCTTACAAAACTATACTTTATCCATTGTTATACACTCTTTTACATTTTATTTAGGGGTGTGTGTGTGAGTGTGTGTGTGCGCACGTGTGCGTGCACCTCTGGACACAGCGGATAGAAAAGTCTGTCTATCCCTCAGTGCTAAAGCTGGTGGTGTTGCATGGGTGTTGGGATCCGAACTTGGTTACTAATAGGTGTGCAGCAGCACTCTGAATGGTTCTGTCCATCTCTCCATCCCCACACACCTTTTTTGCAGCTTCACATCTTCCTTTTCTTTTCAGTAGTCCCCTTTTTATTCCCCCTTTCTAGCATAACACTCCATAGTCTACATCCACTATTACAATCTTTTGGGTGGAGGGTATCTTACAAAAGTGTGACATTATCATGGATATCTTCACGATCCCTTTTATTATTATTAAATTACCATACAACATTATAGGTTTCTTTATGGCACATTCATGCCATACTTTGTGTCATTCATCTTTCTCTTCCACTGCTTTCCCCAGTCACCCCTCAATCTTTCCCTTTCCCCTCAAACATCCTTGCCTGTGCTTTCATGTCACATAGATTCCATTATTTTCTCTTATTCCCTTCTCCCTTTTCATGCTGTCTTCACCACATCTCATAGGCCCTTTTTATATGCAGATGCACACATGCGCATGCACACACACACACACACACACACACACACACACACACACATCACACTAACACCATATATGTATAAGGTATCTGGGTTTCTGAGATGAGATGAAACAAGAAGAAGTGGTTTGGGTGGTGTAACTTATTCCACTTAATGAATATTCTCCAGTTCTATCCACCTTCTGAAAAATGTCATGATTTCATTGCCTTATGGCTGAATAAAATTCTATTGTGTATCACATTTCCATTATCCATCCATTGACGGGACATAAAGGCTGATTCCATTCCTGCACATTACATACAGTGCAATAATAAACATGGATATGTAAATGTCTCTATGGTATGCTAAGATGCCATCAGACAAACCCTCAGGAGTGGCATTGCTGGGTCATACGGTAGTTCTGTTATGAGAAACAGCCATAATAATTTCGCCTTGCCCTCACTAGCTTACACACCACCACCAGTAATATAAGAAGCCATCCTTCCCAGCACACTTGCTTACCTCACCAATTTTCATATCACCAGTATGTAAGGCTTCCTCCTAACCAGCATACTTGTCACACTTTTGTCATTTGTTTTGTTTTTGCTGATTTGTGAAATGTAATCTCAAAATAGCTTTTCTTTTAAAATTTATCTTTGTTTACCTATATTTGTGTGTGTTTCTGTGTCAACATATGCTACATGTATGCAGATGTAGAAGCCAGAAAAGGGAGTCAGATTTCCTTGAGCTGGAGATTTGTCAGTTATGAGCCACCCAATGTGGGTGCTGGGAAGTGAACTTCACTCTTCCACCAGGGCAGCAAGCACTGGTAACCATGGAGCCATCTCTCTAGCCCTCTTGAACTCATTGGAATTTGTATTTCCTGATGGCTGAGAACATGAAATGGTACTTCAAACTGGCCATTTTTATTTCTCTCTTTCAAGAACTATCCATTGAGTTCATTAGTCTATTTGAACATGTAGTATTTTTACTGTTTAATCTCTTCACTTCTTAATGCATTCCATATAATAAGCCTTTATCTATTGAGGAGTTGGCAAAAAGGCATCCTGTTCGCTAGGATGACTACCTTGCTGTGTAGAAACTGTTTAATTTCACTAAACCCCTGCAGAGTTTTGAATGAAAAATGTCCCCCATCATTTCTGGCATTTTGTCCCCAATTGGTGGTGCTGTTTGAGAGAGGCTTAGGTTATATACATTACTGGGGGTGGGCTTTGAGAAAAATATCTATAGCCCTTCCATTTCACTCTCTCTGAAGCTTTGTGCTTATGGTTAAGATGTGAGCTCTATAATTCCTGTTGCATTCCCACTGTCATGCTGGCTGCCTACATCATATTATCACACTGACCTGCTATTATGGACTCTAACCATCTTGAAACCATAAGCCAAAATAAACTCTTTCATCTATAGGTTGCCCTGATAACAGTGTTTTATCACAGCAACAGAAGAGAAACTAACACAGTCCCATCAGTAAGCTCCAAGAAAGTCATACTTGTTTACTAGAGTCCTTGCCCATGCCTGTCTGGAAGAATTTACATAAGCTTTCCTCCAGCAGTGTCAGGGTCTTTAGCTTTAAATTAAGTCCTTAATGTGTTTAGAATTGATTTTTATGCACAATGACCAATACAACAATTCTCAACTTGTGGGTCAAAACCCCTTTATGGAGTCAAATGATCCTACCACAGGGGTCACATTAGATATCCTGCATTATCAGACATTTACAATTCATAACAGCAGCAAAACTAGTTACGAATTAGCAATGAAAATGATTTTATGGTCAGAGGTCACCACAAGAGAAACTGTTTTAAAGGTCTACAGCTGGATAAGGATCTACTGTTATTCTTCTACATGTGTGAGTAGCAAGTATTTCCAAAACCATTGATAAATAGGGATTTTTCCCATTGTGTCTTTTTTTTTAATGGCACGAAGTTAATTAGTATATTTGCATGGGTTTACTTCTGGGTCTTTATTCTAGTTCACTGGTTTGTCAGTTCATTTTTGTGCCAGGTGCCACACTTTTCATTATCACTGAGTCATGACTATTTGAGATAAAACAGTCTGATACTACTAGCCCTCAGATTTCTGCTTGGAATTGTTTTGGTTGTTCAGGTATTCATTTTTAGGTGTTTGTTTGTTTGTTTGTTTGATGTGAATTTTAGAACATTTTTTTCAGTTTTAATTATTAAGATATACTTGAATTTTGATGGGACAGTACTAAAACTATAGATCATATTTGGTAATAGAACCATTTCCACTATACTAATTAATTATGGCAATTGCTGCACATGCAAAAGATAGTCCATCTTTTAGTATCTCCTTGCATTTCGTTCGTCAGTCCCCGATGCTTTTCAACATAGACATATTTCCCCTCCACAAGTGGGTGTATTCCTCGAGTTCTTTTTAAGATATTTAAATGTGACCCCTCTTCCACAGATTTTTTTTTCTCACTTTGTTATGAACATACAACCTGCTGATCGTGCAGTGTTGTGTCCTACCTATTTTCAGATCTAAGTGTTTCAAGTGGAGACTCCTGTGTCTCTTATATACAGGTTTGAATGGTCTTTAAATAAGGATACTTTGAATTTCCCCTTTTCTATTTGTATCCCATTTATGTTTCTCTCACTCCCTCTCTTTTTTTCTTTGAGTACTGGCAAGGTCAGAGAGTGGGGACTCTTAATCTTTCTGTATTTAGAGCACATGTCTTCAGTTTTCCCCAGTTAGTATAATGTTAACAGTAGAAATTCATATATAGCTTTTACTGTATTGAAGCATGTTCCATCTATTTCTAATTTCTTCAGGATATTAACAATGAAGGGATGCTGAACAACATCAAAGGCATTTTTGACACTGATTAAGATTAATATGTGATTTCTTAATGATCAGAGATTCCCTAGAGTCTACTTACATGTATATTAAACTTACTGATATCCTCCATATGTTGAACAAACCATCCATCCTTAGAATAAAACAACTTGGTCATAGTGTATGATGTCTTTTATGGGCTCTTGAATTTGATAAAAATATACTATGTTCACTAAAGTCACTAAAGATATTGGTCTACGTTTTATTCTTTTCTTTCTTTTGCTTTTATGTTATTGTTTGGTTGGTTATCTTTTTCCAGTCTTAGTTATTAGAGTATCATGGCTTCACAGAATAATCAACAGCATCCTTACCTTTCTATTGTAGAATTGGTAGCTGTTTTCTGTCTCCCTCCCTGTCCCTCTCTCTTTGAGGTTTACAGGCTTTTCTTTAAACATCTGGTAGAATTCAGCAATGAACACATTCAGTCCTGGGATTATTTTTTCTTGGAAGACTACTTTCTTAATAGCTGCTTCAATCACAATGTCATATATTTGTTAGTCATATATGACTAACAAAGCAATGTAGATTTCAGGGGCTGGGAGACAGTTTAACCAATAAGAGGACAGTCTGCTCATCTAGGGAATCCTGGTTCGATTCCATACCCAAATGGCAGCTCACTAACATCTATAACTCTACTTCCATGACATCTAACACCCTCACCTGGCCTCCCCAGTGCATGCATGTGGTATATATGATGCATAGACATACATGTAGGCAGTACACACATACACATTTTCAAAGCAGCTCCTAGTTGATGCTTAATGAACTGTTCCACTTGTTAATCTGTAAAATCCCTTTTTATCACTTCTTGTTTTGGTATGGATCTACTCTATCAAGCATGAAAATAATTTCAGCAGCTTCCACACACTTTCTAGACTGATTTCCCTCCTCTGACTCTCAATCATGGATGTCTACCAGTGAGCTGTGTTTCTTGGAGATTAAAATATAGTTCAGTACAGTTTCTAATCTAGTCAGACACTGTACTACTTCTTACTAGAAACCTGGGGTCAATGATGTGTAAGATTGCTCCTGTGACATTTTATAAATTCCTATAATTTTTCTTGGCTATTTCTGTGTTTTGTTAAGTTATTATTTATTATTTTCTTTCGTCACTATTATTGTTAGAGGTCTGGTAGTGTACTATATTGGACGTGATGGATTTTTTCACAACTCCC